GGTTATATTTACACTTTTCTGAAAGAAAAAATATCACCTTTAATAAAGAAATTTTGAGCAGGATCTTTGGTACTCCATGCAAACGAATAACTGCTTTTGGCTACTTTTGGTTATATTTAGGAGAATGTTCCTTTTGCACAATTTAAACTATCTGAAGAGCTACGATTAAAAACACTATATATGGATGAGCACTGGAAAATTAGTATGAACAAATATGTATGTGGTGATGCTAGGATTGCCGTGAATATTTTGGGTAATAATATATGTCAAAAGGAGGGGAAAAAATACTGCAAAACAATTTCATCTTCTATGTCTTCATTTCACATATGTATGCCTGTACGCGTGTGTGTAGAGTCTACAGACAATATCCAAACAAACATATAATGAGAACTAGTTTAGGGATACGGATAAAACCTGGCATATTCGAAACAAAGCCACCTCTTGTCTCTATACTACCCCGTTCTATGCTTGGCTCATGATCAACAGTCAGTTGTATTGCTTTCCCACCTTTTGCTACAACTCCTCGTGAATCACCGACATTAGCTATCCACAGCTTTGTGCCATTTATGAGAATGGCAGTAACCGCAGTAGATCCACCTCGTCCAAGATCAGGACTGTGAGAAAGAATTGCCTTGTCAGTCTTGTCATATGCTTTTGAAATGGCTCTATCAGGATGGGTCCAGAATTCTTCCTATGTCAAGAGGAGGAGATCGGATTACATTCTGTGTTCTTTATTATTTTTTATTATATATCCAAATAACAAGGCTAGAAAAAGAAACAATTACTGAAACCATACCTCTTTTAGAATATTAGCAAACAAATGCTTCTGTAAGTATGCAGCCACACTATCTCCCAAATGGCCATCAAAAACAGCAAATAGGCCAAGCTCCTGCCCTTTAACATGGACGAATTTGGCAACATGAAAATCCTCCATAGGATGATTAGCCTTTCCTTTTACAAGGCTATAGCCATAGCTAACTCTGATGTTACCTTGATAACTTTTTCCTTTACCCACATTTGATGAAGAATGTCCTGGCGACTAAAATGGTAAAACTAATTAGGCAGGAAAAATATTGATAGCACTTTATCGTATAAATTTCCACCATATTACACGCTCAAAGAACATAAATATACCAGAAAGGAATCAGGAATTTCAAATTATCATAATAAAGGAACTTCATAGTAAAAATCCCACATACATGCAAAGAAATGGATATTTATGAAAAACTTGGGGCACAGTAGTTGACCAAGTACTGTAAAACATCCATCTTTCGTGCACATAAATGTTGGTAATTTGGTTGTAAAGAAAAGTTTTTTGGGCACTCTAGTTCATGCAAATCACTATAACTAACAGATGATTAACAACTACTCCAAGTTACAGAAACAAATGACATGTGTTTAAGCTTCTAATACTTTTAGCATGCGCGGGAAATGTACTTTGCTTTCCTTTTCCTGCAGTACTTGATTAAGGCATATAGGCCTGACATGTGGTAAAGGGTTGGACTTTTCAGTGGAGGAAAACTACATATTGGACCCTTAGGTTGGTCACTGCATTAGTATTAATCTATTTTCCCCTCTGGCTTGATTTATACTGATTATTTGTGCCGCCCGCCTGCCGCACAAATAATCAATATAAAAACTTATGGCTTTGAAGAGAATATTCGGTGGAGTCATTGCCCGTTCAGAACTTGAAGAATCAGATAAACAGGGGGGGGCAGAAATAGAGAAAGGAGAAAGATCTCCAAACCCGGGTCTTCAAGACTACTTCATTTCATTGGGTTAAAGTCAAGTATACTCAATAATAACATGGGTAAGAGGATAAACATACGCCGTAAGCAACTAATGGATCTAAATAATTAATACAACAAATGTTACCAATTTTTAAAGTTAATGTGATTATGATAAAATGATTAACACCGATGCAGTTACCAACTTGAGCTATTCTGTCACTCTTTATAAATAACACATTGTCTCCTTATATTCTCAATTAATCAAGAATATTTCCAAATTTATTTTGTGCAATTAAACTTCTTAAATCTAGAAATTAATATTAACATCGGTAAAATATGAGACAAGAGTCTATTAAAAACATTAAAAAGAAAAGGCCCTAAAACTGACCCAAAAAAGAACAATAGCAGTTTGATAAATCTTAGGTGCATCAGCTAATCAGATAACATGACTCACAAGTTGTTTGTATGGAAAAGAGAATAACATATATAACCTGATTTCATTACTATAAAAGAACTATGCTGTTTCTTAGATCAAGTCACAAAGCAACCTATGGAGAAAAGCAAATCCATTGATTACCAAATCAGAACATCAATTTATAACATCGCATACAATATCAGTTATTCGTAATGTAGTTCAGTGTGATATACTCTCCTTTTTGTTTCTTTTTGGTGTCATAAAAGCTCTGCACCTAGTACTGCCAGGGTTGAACTCCCAAGCCCCCAATTGCAGTAGGAGCCCAGTATCCTTTTGGTTCGATATGCTTGAGATGTCAATATTTTATATCTTGCTTAATTGCATAAAATGAATATTTTCCCTTGGACATTTATATGCTTAAATTTCTAAAGGAATTTCCTTAAAAAAAACATGTTAAGAGGATGGATTTCATCCAAAATGAAGCTTGTGGAAAGTTTCAAACTTGATATCACTATGGAAAGTTTCAAACTTGATATCACTATGGAAAGTTTCAAACTTGATATCACTAAATAGAACCGGTATGCATAAAAACACAAAGCAGTAGTACATGCTTGTGAATAAGGAGGAAGTGAATAATGTAGAAAGCTTGTAAACCCACTTGACAACAACATATCATACAGATACTGACGGTTGTCAGTAATGCTACTACGCATTATTAGCATGACCTGTAATTTGTATACCTATTTCCTTTTCTTCTCACTTTTATTTATAGATTTCTAATTTCTAACACCTACAGAAAAAGAGAAATCCATGAGCCTAGTTCGAACCACATTACTTTCAAAAGTCAACTTTCCTAAGTCCTGACACAAACTAAATTATTTGAAATTGCCGGGTTAGAAAAATGCAAAGATTCGCTTTTTAATGAGAGGGATTATATCAATTCCATCTAATCTATTTACTCCATTCCTCATTTTTGCTTTTGAGAGATAATGAGGAAAAGAATTTGATTTCTAATTAGCAACAACCAAATCTTATACTATTATAAAAGTGTGTAGCCATGTTAAAACATTTCTACCAAAAATGCCCTCAAACACACATACATACATCATAAATTACACATACATTTACATACTAA